GTGATAGCTGTTTATCCGGGTCAACATATACGATACGTCTCATTTCTGAGAAAAAATACAATAACTGCAATGTAAGAGTATACTAATATGTAAAACCTCAGAATTTTGTATTTTGTCATCTAAACGCGGGCGGAGCCGCGGGCAATGCTAGTGTTAGATAAGCTAAAGCCTATAGATACAAAATTGTAAACTAAGTTTACGTGGCAATAATAACTTGTACGTGAACTTTTTAAATTGTATGGTGTTCTTTTTCAACCGACTTCAAAAAGGAGAAGGTTCTCAATTCGACTGTGTTTTTTTTATGTTTGATTTGGACAATTTTTGTGTTGTTTGAAAGTGTATACTTCCAGATTGGTCCTACCGACTTACACTTACTCACACCGACTTCGAAAATATTTGATTAGGTATAGTAAATGAAAACTACCAATCAGTTATTTCTTACTTTTTAGTGCTTTTATTTGAAGTCGGTTTTTATTTTTTTGTTAAAAAGTTTTTATTGTAACCAATAGTTCCTAGTTTTCGCCATTTACACTTTAGAACCCTTATCATTTAACACTGATAATAAGTAAAATGAAAATGATACAACCAATATCAACAATGTTACAATTATTATATAATAAATACAATAACTGATGGCCTTGAATTGAAGAGTCAATGTCGGTCGTCGCACGCGGTGATGCACAAATTACCGCGTCACACGGAAACCTGTCTCGATCGCTACTTCGTTTCTTTCGTAATATAACACGTGTGATTGCGAACGATTAGCAAGTTTCATACGCTATCAACGTAATACTCCCATCAACCGGAAGTCGTCCCATCGTTCTATCAATGAAATTATGGTCCACTCGTAACATCCGTGTCTTTATTATTAACTTAACTCGTTACATCAGGCCTATATCCCACAGGAATTGCTGGATGTTTAAGGATAGGCCCATTTCACTCTGCGGTTCATAAATATTATTTTTGCTCAAATCACGCGAACCGCTGCTTCGTTGCTGCAAGAATGCAGGTCGAACCAGAAAACACCTTTTAAAATTACATTAGTATTAATTATTATTTAAAGCTAGCAATCTTTCCTGATATTTCTTGTGATTTGCTTTTGTAAGTGACTACTGTAATTTTAAAACTTCTAAGACTTTTAGCATCAATAATAAAAAAGGTCATATTATTATAATGGATATTATATTAAAGTATTTGTTTTCAAATAATTTCGTATAAACAATAAGTTAAGACTCCTCTGATTAGGTTCTGCGGAACCCTTAAAATTGTTTTTAATTTTTTTTTTCGGTCTATATCAAATGAAGTGCAATTAAATCGACAGACAAACAGACGACTTATAATCGAAAAAGTTATTATTATTAGATATACTTAGTTTACGAGTATCTTAATGTTTATATAATATTATTTTTAATTAAAAATATAAAATAAAATATCCAGTTTGTGTTCAAAATGAAAGTGAGTATTGCTTACTGAATTATAAGAAGCTTTAAATTGATGAAGATTCGAATTCATATCGAATTATACAATCAGATATACTTTCGAATGGTAAAAGAAAAGAAAATATAGATTTATAGCGTTATTCAATCTTAAAAGTAAAAAGAACGGTTGCGTTTAGTTGCTGAACGTCTTCAATAATAATACCTATGCCTAATAAAAAATATTATATTAGTTATTTATAATTTGGGAATCTAAACACTTATCATATATCAATGAAAATAAAAAACTGCAGTTAAAGTTAATTAAATTTATAATGTAAGATTTTGGTATTTATTATTATTATAGTTAATCAATTACGAGTCATTACTATATGTGTATATATATATATATATATATATATATATATATATATATATATATATAATAAATACCAACATTTCCTAAATTTTACAATATCACAGTTACAAAACTACATAAGTACCTACAGTAAAACAAATGTCAGCAATCAGAGCCACAGCAGTATTAAGTCGCATCTAACAATAGACGTATTATTTTACTTCAATACTTTCCACTACATTTTCTGCTCAAGACTATTCCAACCTAGTTCTCGGATTGTACCTAAGGTACTAATACCCCTTTCTCTTCCAATCGTAAGATAGATACGGCTATCGACTTTCTACCTGCAATGCGTACTGATTAATTAGACACGATTAGTATTAGATTCGGTTTTAACGATTCGTTTGATTATGTTATAACTCATTTTAGCAATACGGTTCGAGATAATTGGTTTCACTAAAGTAAACAATATCGTTATTATTCCGTAGTTCCGGCTTGTCTTTAACTGATGCTATTTTTTCTTAACCTAATTTATTTTATTTTGATACAGATAGATATTATTTGTGGCTCAATATTGAACACTAGTGACTCACCCTCGCTTCGCTCGGGTTCGTCCCTAGCTTAATTCCCCATACAAGCTTTCATCCCCATTTTCACCCCTTTAGGGAATGATTTTCGGGATAAAAAGTATCTTATGTCCTTCTCAAACTATCTTCTTACCAAATTTCATCTAAATCGGATTAGTAGATCCAGAGATTATCCCCTACAACGTCACAAACTCACAATCGCACAAACTTTACCTCTTTATAATATTAGTATAGATTAGACAAATTAAGTGTCTTAGTTTGGTCATGAATTTTTAGAAAAGCTCTGTTTTTATCTATGTACACATATAGGTATTGTTTAACATTCCATATTATTATGCTTTTAATATTTTTTTATTAAGTTATTATAAAACTGCCTCGCCATTAACTTAAACGCGTAAGAATGTATTTTATAATAGATAGCTGTTCATTTTATATAATGGAAACTAATTAAATACATTAATTCATTTAGCTATTTAATGTCATTACAGTAAAATTACTGACACTTAAACTTTACGATATACAGAAAATACGATAAAGTTAATTTTATTGTTGTAGCAAAAGTAAAATATAATAGTAATTATTTTTTGACTAGCGACTTACTCTCGCTTCGCTCGAGTTCGCTCTTTGTGCTTCTTATCCAAATCTCACATAACATACACAAATTAAATACGTAATAACGATGAGTGACGACACGTTTGGCTCAGTTTGTAGTGACCCTACTTGCTGTGCCATCGGTCGTGGGTTCGAATCCCGCTGGGGGCATTTATTTGTGTGTTGAGCACGAATGTTTGTACTTCAGTCATGGGTTTATAATATGTATATATTTATAATATGTATCTATTTAAAGTTACATATGTGTAGTGTATCAACTATCATGGAACTAGTGCTGTGTGTTAATGTCCCAACTTATTTATTTATATTTTAAATACATACACACTTTCGCTGTTATAATAGAAGCCCGATTAGTATTAATCAAAAAATAATAATGAAATAACTTACGTCAGTAATAAATAATTATCACTAATGGAGGTATATAAATGTAATTTCTGAAGGAGAAAGTTTTAATATTGTTCTTACAGAAGCCAAAACATTTTTTCACCAAATTTTGCGGACTTTGCATTTGTGACCGCAAGTGACTAATGAGAAGAAAGTATCATAGTACGTCTTTGGAGTCATTCCCATCTTTTTTGCATAATTTCTACCAACTTTTTTATTTTTTACCCGTAACTCTTAGAGGATCGGTTTCTCAATGATCTAAAAGCAATTGAAAGATAATTTTATTTAAAAAAAGTTGTCGCGTCAACTTTTAGCCAAATAAAATTACATTTTTGTGGATTTAAAAAGTTGACATTTATATTTTTATAACATGACTAGCATTGCCCGCGGCTCCGCCCGCCTTCAGATGACCAAAAACTAAATTCTTAGGTTTTACATATTAGTTATACTCTTACATTGCAGTTTTCTGTATTTTTTCTCAGAGATGAGATATTTTCCCGCGGTAAAAAGTATCCTATATGTTGACCCCAATAACCAGCCATCATCATACCAAATTTCATCAAAATCTGTCCAGTGGTTTTCTCGTGATGCGGTAACAGACACACAGACAAAAATTCTAAAAACTATAGATTCGGACTCTGTATCGATTATAATGTCTATTTCAATTAGATTTTCCAAAAAATATTTAATGTACAAATTCGACTTAGTTACAATTTTATTATATTATGTATAGATATTTATTCACGTTTATAACACTGTCCGCTAAAATGATATAAGGTGACTTTTAATAACATTCGAAATTTTTAAAACCTACTGAGTTAGTTGCCTTTAGCTAAATTTTATTATAATTACATAATATGAAAACGCATCTGTGTAAATAAAGTTCAGTTATAGTGCGAATATTTTCTAACATATAATTACATACATAATTTATTTAAATAGCAAGCACAGCGTAAATTAAAAAAATATTTATAAGTTTCTTTTACCCTTTAGCTGGCCAGTAATTTTTATAAAGTAGTTTTTACGCAAAGTTGACTGCAAATGTGCTTAGAGAATGAACATCATGATTTTAACTCTGACTCTATAATTGCCATTTTTTATTGTAGTTAAGTATAGTATTGTATGAATTTAATGGAGTGTGTGTAGAGACACTTTTGATAATGACTTCTTAATATTCAGTCGAGATTTATCGAATTATAATGATTCTGTAAAATATTTAAAACTAGCATTTTCTCACGACTCCGGACGCGTACTTCCATAATATATTGCTATATCTTTAAAAGTTATAGCTTATGTATTATTCTGATGTAGAAGCTATATTACTTTAAAGTTTCATCAAAATCCATTCAGCAGTTTTTTCTGGTAAAATCGATTTTTATGTATTCATATAATTGTTATCTATTTTGTTTTCTCATAGAGTTTCCACTTAAAGTTAAAAAAATATTCCGAACTATTATTACGTATTTAATTATTCTAACTATTATGTAGCAAAAACTTTTTAATCGACTCTGTTTTAAATGAATCGTTATTCATCTAAGACAAAGTCTAAACAATCTGCATTACTTCACCACTTTATGTGAGAATCGGCATTGATTAATGCATTGGTCCGTAACCTTTAACACGAACAATTTATAAAGCTTCTTAGATCTGATTTATACCAATTTTAAATATATTAACCTGATAAACATCATATAACCACTGTTTTCATAGTTTTTGCACATCTTTATATATATAATTCTTCTGTGAGTGTGTATGTCACTGAACTTCTCTCAAACGACTGGACCGATTTTGATGAAATTTTTTGTGTGTGTTCAAGGGGATCTGGGAATGGTTTAGATTCACAATTTGAATAATAATTTTCATCAAAAAAATTATTAAAAAAAGTTTGAAATTTTCAAATTAAAGACGTGTAGACATGACAACGTCTGTCGGGTCCGCTAGTTTTAAATATAAATTTGTCAACTAATAGGTAATATCTTAACTATTCATACTTTACTAATCTATGAAAATAAAACTCAAATAATTGAAATCACTCACCTCTTTATTCGTTTGTTCGTTGATCTTGACAACGTTGTGTTGCGGTTTGTCCCGCAATGGTAAGTAGCCCTCACGACTGTCCGCAGATTCCGTTACGGTGCTCTCTATCGATGTCGTTGATTCTAACCCCGTGTTGGTGGTACCGTCTGTAGATTGCGTCTCTATTAGAGTACTTACAGTTGAAACTATATCTTTAGTAACTTCAGCCGTTGTACTCGACACGTCGGTTGATATTGTTTCTGTAATCTCGCTATTTGTGTTAACAGTCGATTCTGTTTCCGAAACCACTGGGGTCTCCGTAGTTCTCACTGGCCGTATAGTGTATCGTTTAGGCGGCTTCACCGTAGCAGTAACAAAGTTAGTAGTCGGCACGGCCGTTTCAATTTTCAATGTTTGCGTTGTTTTGGAATCGACTGTCGTGTCCGTGACGACATTCTTATGGGAGGATTTTTTCGTTTTTGGAGGCGTAGATGATGTTGGACGAATTGCTGATGCAGTCGTTTTAATTTTGTTATGAGATTTTCTACTTAATGTCGTAGGACGCTCTTGAAGGGTTGTCATTGTAGGGCTATCTTCTAACGTGGTTTGTACGGTAGATGGGGGTCGCCTGTCCGCGGGTGGATCAAGGATCGATTGTTTAGGGGTTCTAGAGGGAGGGAAGAAGTAGTCCATGACGGATGGAGACTTGTTACGGTTATTCGGAAGCCATGACCAAGGGTTGAAATCGATTAGCCGGGGACGCGGTGAATCGGCGGTAGCGGCTGCGAGGGCGGCCAGCGCTAAGAGAGCGAACATTGAACGAAACATGGCGCGGCGTGCGCGTGCGGCCGCTATGACGATCGAAGCGGGACTGCGCAGGCGTTGCAAACTGAGAGCCCACCACCACTCACTGAATTGTTAGGGTCGAGATGCAAATGCAGCCTACAGGGATATATCCGCAAGGAAAGTTGTGGAGTATGCGGTCATATAAATTCGAAAAGCTTAATGTTTTACAATGCGATTTCAACTACGAGGTTTGGTAGTGTTACTTTATTTATATTCAAGTATAACGTTGGCAAGAATTTGTTTTAATTTTATTTTTACTGCTTTTATACTGGATGTATCTATTTATGAAAAATTTGACGTATTTAATGTGTATTAATTTTGCCCTTAGAATTATCGTGTTGCATATTTAACTGTTAACTGATACTCAAATTACTATATGTACTTATAATAATTTTATTTGAAATAGGCAGTCAAGTCATTAATCAATAGTAGAGATGCAGATGTTAAAATTTATAATTATTTTTAAAATTATAAAAGGCTTTACACTAAGAAATACATAGTATGTGAATACTATGAAATACGCACTACCTTGTGTAACCATCATTTATTGGCAAATTAAAATAACATAAATATTTAAAAAAGTCAACAAAATTCAGTTTTTAATATACTTAAATCAACATTTGTTTTGCAACAAAGAAAATTTAGTTGTTGTAAATTTACTGCACTGCTGTTATCAGCAATGCCGACGTGTATAAACACGCCTACTACGTAAAAATGAACCGAATAATTCGGCCGAATATTCGGTTCGGGACATTTTGGACCGAATATTCGTATTCGGTTGAACCCATATTTGGTATATCCGTAATCAATAGGTATAGTAAACCTTTGATCAATATTACTTTACAAGATAACATACCTTTATCATGTTTATCCTGTGGTATTTACCGCTATCCAATCACAGATAAGTTATATTAGAAAAATCCAAAACAACGTCTATCGCCTAAAATTGATGAAGAATCGAAGAGCTACCGCAAAGCGTGGTGATCACTTCTATACGCTCTAATTGAACCACCTTAATATAACTCACCTTTTATCCCACGACTAGAGACACAAAATGTAAACCACTAAATATGCATGACTTGGCGTAAACATTATTAGAGTCACTGGTGTTACGCGTGAGACGTATAATTTTTTACTTTCTATAATTGGTAGCGAGTTATCGTCTACTTATCAACCTTTTTAAAAGTAATTTTGTACTAATAAATTAATTTGTTGGACAAATATAAAGTCAAATCTCTTTAAGTGATGTACTTATAGAAACAAGAACAGACAGATATACTTAATATTAAGCAATTTGCACAAAATTTTAGTTTGATTGATTAGATATTAATTACTAAATATCTTAGAATAGCGTTAAATACATATGTAGTTTATGTAGGTATATAATAAATATATAATATGTTCAATTATTAAGTCAATGGATCAAACAAAAGCCATCAGTGTACTCATATGAAATCGTAATACCATGACTAAATACAATGTTTACTTCCAACGTGTTTTAATTGAGTAGCTGGAAATGTTGTACCTTCTTACTTTACATTTTCTTCTTGAAATTTTCCTTTACATATGGCATTTCTCAGTAAAAATGCTAGGTCTAGGTCTAAATCTAGCGCGTATTATTCTAACGAAAACAAATGTATGCTTAAGCGAAGTTTAGAACTTGACAATAACAGAAAGGTGTTACAATTTGTACATGTATGTATATACAAGCAGAACCCGCGAAAAGAATAAAATGGTAGGTTTCATACAAACTTTCATCCGTTATTTTACCCCCTTATTCGATGAATTTCGAAAAATGCTAAAACACGTATTTAATTAATTGTAATGAAGAGCATTTATACCAAGTTTCAATTAATTCTGATCATAAATATTTTTTTGGTTTGTATTATAACGTGTTTTTAAAGAGATAATCTCCTGCGGTAAAAAGTAGCCTATGTCACTCTCCAGCCCTCCAACTATCTCCACGCAAAAAATCACGCCAATCCGCAAAGCTGTTTCGACATGAAAGAAAGACAAACAAACAAACACACTTTCTCATTTATAATATTAGTATGGATGTTGGTAAATATATGTAGTAGCTTTTCTTGTGGCTTCGCACGCGTGTGTGTTCCTAGATAATTTGCAACCGCTCAACGTAGACCGATTTGTATGAAAACCACAAAATGTAGTTTCATTTGTATCATATGGTTTTCACAACGTCAATAGTAACTAATCACTTTAAAAGTTAATATAAGTTCCTTTATCAAGTGGTAAAATAAAACATATTTTTTTTTAAACAAGCTTTCTCGCGACAAGGTTTTATATCATACATAGAAGTTGTGTAATGTAATAAATTGTTGGGTTTCATTTATTTTAAAGTTTATTTTCTTCTTTTTGGAACACCTTCAGATAAATTTCTAAGAAATTAATTCAAATTCTAAGAAATCTATTGTTAACTGACACGCCGCGCCGGTGTGTCCGCGGTCGTGGATGAATTAAATAAAAGCTTGTTTTAAAAAAAAGTTTTTTTTACAAATATTTTGTATTTTTTTTTAGTTATTAGCATTCTTCTTAGCAAACCCTTTCATTTGATATCTATATTATGGGGGTGCAAAAAACGTAGTTTGGCAGTCCGCCATATTGGATTTAGAATGACGTCACTTAGCTAACCATACATTATCATCCAAACTTAACCTGTATCAATCGGTTAAGGTTAACTGCTTTAAAAGTCAGTTGCAAGATTTAATTCAAACTAATATTACACGGCAAGTTGAATAAAAGCTTGTTGTTGTGATAATTAAGGAAAGCGGATTTTTTTTTTCAAAAATATTCTATCAATATTAATGTCTTGAAAAATATTTAACTTTGAAATTAAATTTAAATTACAAAGACAGTAAAAATCCGCGTTTTTTAAAGTATTTTATACATATTTAAAAAGGCAGATTTTTAAAAAAATTGTAATATTTAATTTTAAAAAATCCTATATGGACTATGAAAGATAAGTGTTTTTTTTTTAAGTTTATTTGTAGGTAAGCAATTTTAATTTTTTTTATTCTGAGTATATATATATTGGTTGTATCGTTCGTAAACTCTTTGATGTAGCGATCAACATTGTAAGTTAATGGAAAATGGCTAGTAGAACGTAAATTGGATAAGAAAGTTATAAGTGTATTTATATAATAAATAGCATTCTAGTAGCAAAGGCCAATAAGGTTTAGTATAAGTATTTTACAAACCATTATAGCGCATTGGTAACGTGCTAGCGTAGAAAGCCAAATATCGTGGGTTCAAATCTAAATCATTTTCGCCGCGATTAATTACTTATACGGTGAAGGAAACTGCATGTCTGAAAGAACCAACCCGCCTTTGGCAAGCGTGTTTGACTATGTATACTAATCTCCCACGCATTCAGGCCTCTCCTCTGTGTCTAAAAATAATAATTAAACTATCATTCTAAGCCGTTTCTGATCATCGACACACGTAGCGTCATGCAAGGTGTTGTAGTGTGTTTTATCAAAGCATGGTGTACCTTAATGAGACAATAATTATATGTAAATATTTATCATTTCCATTCATTCATTTATACAAATAAATAAAATTGAAGTGTTTGTCTGTAATGCCATGCATTTTTTTATAACTCAAGGAAATTTAAATTTTTGTCTGTCTATTTCTTCCAGCTAATTTCCGAAACGGCTGGACTGATTTTGACGGGACTCTCACTGGCAGATAGCTAGTGTTTTAAGGAGTAACTTAGGCTACTTTTATTTAAAAAAAATACTGTATTATATTTATTTATTATACCTTTAATATTTATTTATAGCTCCTAATGTTATACCCATTTTACTTTCACATCGATACTCTAAATTGGACCACTAAAAATAAATCATTGCTAAAAAAATAAAGTTAACATTTAATTTGATCCAAAATCACTTCAAGTCACTTATTCGTATAAAGAGAAAATCAATAATTCACGACATGCCTAAGAGCTCTTTAGTGTGACGATCGTAAAAATGTAAGGCAAAGACAAATCGTATTGACATAAGTACTTGGAGCCATTATGCGAGTTTGATTCGGCTCAATTATCGCCATTCTGATAATTAAATTTTCTTTTAAAATAACTTACCAATTACCGAAAAAATGAGATTTCATGAAAAAATTTTTTCATAATGTAGGATTTATTGAGAAACTATGTAAATAATATATATATATATATATATATATATATATATATAGGTATACATGTTTTCGTAAAAGGCGATATATCATGACAGGTATAGTCGATGATCGTATGAAAAAATATTAAAAAAAATGTTACTTTCTTGATATTTATATATATAATTTTTCAAGTTTAACCATAAGCAATACTAGTTGTTTTAATTTCACGACAAATTAGAGTTATACAAGAAAGATCTATTTATTGTTTTTACAAACTTTGTTTTTAAAGTGGTTTAAGTTATTAATTTTACTAAACTACCGACTTACCCCAGCTTTGCTCGGGTGCCATACATTTTATTGCTTATTTCAAACCGTTTAGGCAGCGCAAGCGTAGCGTAATTTTTAAGAATCAGATCATTTATTTCAGAAATTCCCCCTACATCCGAACCTACAAACTTTACCTTTTTATAATATCAACGTAAATGTTGGAGCAAAATGGACGAGTCCTTTACTCGTAGAGAGGTCCTTAATCTATTATTTAGTGTTAAAAAAATACGAAATCAATTTAAATAAATTTATTTATTATTCGCATTATTTAAAAAAAAAGTATTGCGAGTTTTGATTCAAAAATGAATTGATAATTGTGATTAATATCTCATATTTCATTACATTCATATCACAAATATAAATGTAAAAATTGAGTATTTGCCCCATTTATAAAATCTAAAAATATATTGCATGTTTTGATAAAAAACTAAAAGAAATGATTGTATTGTGATATTTATTAATTAAATAAAGAGGTTTTATTATTATTAATAATATCAACGTAAACAAAACATAGCAACTCT